CATTTCTCCCCTTGTTTTTCTGAAATTCCTATTAGATATTAGACTGCTCTTTTTTTCCTCTCCCGATTTTAATCTTTTTGCCTTATTCTACTTTTTTGGGACTACTCCTTGATTTTAGCTTCTAAATAATTCTACTAAAGTGTAAAACATTTCTTTGTATGTAGGGGGGGATTGGGGATTGAACCCAGGGACTTTGCACTGAGGTACATACACAGCCCCCTTTTAAAATTTTGAGACAGGGTCTTGACAAGTCACTAAGAACTTGTGATCCTCTTGCCTCAGTGTCCCAGAGTACTCCCACCATTTTTAATTCCTAAGAATTTCTTGTTTTTATAATTCTTTTTTATAATAGTAATGCATTCTTATTTTATGAATCAATTTTGTCAGCACTCAAAGGACACTGATTTTTCCTTTTACCTGTATTGCCTATTCCTTTAAGATCTCATTCTTTCATGTTGAAATTCATCCTCAAATGTGTGGTAATATTTCACTTTTCACTAATATTTAACAGCGAGGCACTACGCACCTGTATTCCCAGCTACTCAGGAGGCTGAGGAAGGAAAACTTTAAGGCCAGCCTGGGCAACACATTGAGATTGCATTGTGTGTATGTGACAGAGAGAGACAAAGAGAGAGAGGGAAAGAGACATAGACAGAGACAGAAAGGGAAGGGGAAAGGGACAGAGAGACACAGATAAGACAGATGGTGGGAGGGAGATGGGTGAGAGAATGAGCAAGAGCATGAATGTACACTTTTATAGGTTAACTGGCCAAGTGGGTAGCCTTTATAGATTTTTTTTCAGGTACGGACACCCCATTCTCCTGTCTACAGGCTATGGTTCTAGTGGATAAAATGGGGCCATATTGCCTTTCAATAGTAGGATTTCACTTGACCTCCTTGTTTCCAGACTACTACTGTGCCTCATCCTACCTCCTACTGTGCCCAAGGTCCCCAAGTCTGGAAACTCTTTGCTTTTTGCTAATTAAATACCTTTTGTCTCCAGAGGAGTGGGGACATAGAGGCTGTTTATATCATCATTTACCCAATTTCTATTTTCAGCCCCTTGCGTACTCTCCAGTTCCAAAGCACCCAGAGGCCCTATTCTTGAGCTCTTCTGAGAATCTAGGCCTGTGAATAAGCCCTGCTGTCTGTTACCATATTCCTTTAAAATCACTTAGGAACTATAACTTCGTGACTTTTTGTTGTCCTTTTTGCTTTTTTGCAGTACTGGGGACTGAACCCACAGGCACTCTACCACTGAGCTACATCCCCAATCCTGTTCATTTTTGATATAGGGCCTCACTAAACTGTAAGATAAAAAATGTATGTGGTTGAAATCACTAAGTCTGGGGTAATTCATAATGCATCAAACAGATAACTAATGTAACAATTCAACTTTTACCATGTAAATTATTAGTAAATAACAAAGGAAAACTTTCACTTGACTATTAAAGCTAAGTACAATTAGCTGGATGTAGTGACTTCCTATCTCTGCATTTGGAAGGCTGAGGCAGGAGGATCACTGGAGTTCAAGCCCAGTCTGAACTATATATCGAGACCTTGTCTCAAAACAAGAACAAAATAATAACAATCAACAATAGAAGAGAAAGGCAAGTACAATTTAATGTATGAGGCCAATATAAGTTTTGACAATCTTTTAGATTTAAGACCATTACAGAAATATTAAATACTAGGCTTTTTTTTTTTTTTTGGTACCAGGGATCAAACTTGGGACCTTGGGCTTGAAAGGCAGGTGGTGGCACTACTAAGCTAAATCCCTGGCTCCAAGGCTTTTATTTTAATACCTAAACTTAATTCATAAAATCTGTAATGATCTTCTCAAAAACCTCACCCATACTGCTGGTATTATCTTAGTCCTTCATCTTTTTAATCTGTCTCTAGAATGCAGTTTTCTCTCAAACATAAGTTCTACTAAAGTTGTAACAGAAAGGCCAAACATAACATCGCAATGGAAAACCATTCAATTTCAGATTAAAGGAAAGAGAATTTAGAGTTCTCTTTTCCAAAGAAATTGTTTCACTAATAAAAAGGTAGCTGATGACAGGAAAAATCAGTATTTATACTTACTGATCGTTTTTACATCTTTTACATGCAAACATACACTATACACCAATGGAGTAAAATGCCTCAAATGGTTTGTGAAGGTGTAAGAATCTAGATGAAATGTGAAGGCAGTCCCAGGCACTAGGCCCCCATCTCTGGGTCCCTGTGCTAGCTAAAACTTAACCCATGCATTCATTTAACAAATATATAATGTACACCAACTAGCACACAAAATAAGGAATAGTTCCTTTTAGTAGGGAATATACATAGACAGGTAAATAAGTAATAGGATCTGTCACAGTGTCGCCATTAGGTGGTGCTGGCAGCAGAAAAGACAACTCAAGGTGGAAGTGTAGTGTGTTAGGAAGATGTTTTAGTTAAAATGACATCTAACTTGGACCTGAAGGATGATTAAGAATTAAAAATGGAGGGGAGTGGTAAGGGAAAAGAATTACAGGGGAGGGAACATTACCTGTGAAAAAGCCCAGAAGGAAAAGAGAAGCTAATACATCTGAGTGAACTTTCAGTACAGGGCAGAGGTGTGTGGCCAGAGAAGATGTGGAAAGAAGTTTGCAAAGTTTATTATGCAGGACCCAGGAGGTCATGTTGCAGAGTTTAGACTTTATTTGAAGGAAGCACAAAATCACTGAGGATTTTAAGTAGAAGAGTAATAAGACCTCATTCTTCCATAATGGACACAATGTTCAGGAAAATTTATTTGACTTCTGGAAAGTGCTATATTCCCAACCTCTTTATTTTTTAATTTTTATATTGAGACAGGGTTTCACTGAATCACTGAATTGTCCAGTCTTCTCTTAAAATTGCAATCTTCTGGTCCCAGCCTCTCAGAATGGCAGTGAATTATTTTTAATAAGAAATGTACAGGAGGGGCCGGGGATTTAGCTCAGCAGTTCAGTGGCCTGCCTTGCAAGCGCAAGGACCCAAGTTCAATCTCCGGTACCAAAAAAAAAAGAAATGTACAAGAACTGTATGTAAGAAGTCATAAATTTTGATAAGACATCAAAGAACATCAGAATAACTGAATATTTATGAATATGAAGACTCAATATTATTAAAGTAATTTTTCATGTTAACCTGTAAATTTAGTGCAACTCTGATAAAAGTTCAATTTTCAGAGGATAACTGACCTTGATTGTGAAGTTTATCTGGAGAATTAAATGCCACAAAACTACAATTTTTAAAAGTAAAAAGGTGGGAAGGTTTGCCATGCTACATATAAAAACATACAATAAATCTACAGTAATTGCAAAATTATTTTAAATTGAAACATTCAGAAGCCAGAATAGGCAAAGAAAGATCCTCCCCTAGAGGTGACAGAGAGAGCATGGCCCTTTTGAAACCTTGATTTCATACTTCTAGCTTCCAAAACAATGTGAGAATAAATTTCTTTTGTTTTAAGCCACCCAGCTTATGGTAATTTGTTATGGTAGGAAACTTATATAGGGAGAAGGCAATTTCAAATATGATAAAAGAGGTATCTCAAATGAGTGGGGAAAGAATGGATTATGTTTATTCAGTAAATAAGGGTTAGGACAACAGACTATGTTGAAAAGAAAAGTTAGATTTCTACCTCATATCAGATACTAAAATTCCAGGTGGAACAAAGATGCAAAATAAAAATGCAAAAAAGGACAAAAACATCATAGCAACAAACAACAGAAAAACTTAAAAGAGTAAGTGAAAATGTAAGAAAATATTTTTATAACCTTGGATAAGGAAAGGATATTCTAACCAAAGCATGAAACCAAGTCAGATATGATCATTTAAAAACAAAAACTTCTATATACATAAAATGAAAGAGAAAAAAATTCAATGTTTGAAAAAAGGATAAAATATCTGCAAGCTATGTAAGAGATATGGAGTTAATACCCAGAATACATTCAAAGATTGTATAAAACAATAAGGAGACAAGAAGCAACCCAAAAGAAAATTGGGCAGAACATAAAATACACAGGCCAATAATGTGTGGCTACTTAATCTCACTAATAATCAAATGAGATGCAAATTAAAATGAGAAAGGCTCAATGTTTTATAATGCCCAGTGTTGAGGGGGGAATTGCTGAACTAGTAGTCTCATACAGTGGAATTTTTACAATCGTTTTGCAGGGCAGTTTGGTAATGTCTACGGAGACTTCAATGTTTAATGTTCATTCATACCCTTTGTTCCAACACGTCATTTTCTAAGACTACATTCTACTGAAATGTAAGTTCACAAATAGGGAGAAATTACATTAAATATAGGATATGCATAAAATAGATTATCATACATGCATTTAAAAAAAGATCTATACTACTTGTATTTTTATCTCTATATAAAAAGATGCTCAAGACATTGAGTGAAAACAGCAAGTTGTAGAACATATACTTCACAAACATAAATAATAATTGTCTTATGGATAGAATCATAAGATTATAGCTAGCTTCTGACAAGGGATATCTTGTGAGAGGTCAGCAACAAATTATTACTTCATTTATGTAATGCATAGTATCTCTTGTGTGCCAGGTATTAGTATAATGGGGATTCAGGAGTGAACACCCATAACAATAAGAAAAGGAGTAAGGAAATGGTTAATGTCTACTTTCTAAATATTAATTATTTCTTTAAAGTATGATCTTTGTATATTTTTGTCTTTCATAAATTTATAGTCAGTTGATTTTTTAAAAATACATGCTACAACACATTAATGAAAACTTTCAATACAAAGCAACTTGCTTTGTCATTCTTTTAAAATCAGTCTTAACAAATAGTATTTAGAAAAGTCACTGGCATTTTCAAGAATATGTTTTGGTAAAATTAATGTGAAAATATCAATAAATTCTTAATACTATAAAATGATTCCTCAATTTAAAAAAACAAGAATAACTTTATGGTATCTAATTTGTCTCTCTCCTTTGTGATATAATATTTTACTTACAGTTTGTGGATTAATCTCTTCCTCTCCCATAGGTTCATCCATAATTTGCTGTCCATTCTGTGAAAAGCACAGCAAATACAAAGTTACCAAAACACATTTTTCATCAAAGTTAAATGAAGGCAGACAAAAAAATTATTGTTCAGGAATATTTTCACTTCTAAAGGGCTCTAGTGAAGTAGAACTACCATCTAAGAATGCAGTTTCAAAATTGCAACAGGTTGTGCTTCAAAAGTTCATTTGTAAGTTAATTATTTGCAACTATAAAACATTTTTCCATGGAAATAATAGAAGAAATGATTATTTCCTTTCCAGGTGAGCTCTTGAGTTTATTTTAGTTAAATGCATTACAAATGGTTTTAGTTAATCCTCACCAAACATCATTTACAACATTGTAAGGCAAAACACATTGTAAATTCAACTCTTTTAATAATTAATCAGGAAAACTAATTATTTCAGAGAAAATTAAGCTCAATCTCTTATATCAAAGCAAATTCCAGAGGGATAAAACATTTAAATGTAAAAAATAAACTATATAAGTATTAGAATACAGGTAAATAGTAATCATGGGGTAAGGAGGGTAGAAATCATAAAGAAAAAAAATGATGTTTAAATCCAGAAAAGTTTAAAACTTCTACCAGACACCAAAAAAAGATAAAACACAAACTGATTACAAAAAATAAAGCAACATATGACAAAGGGTTGGTATTCTTGATACAAAAGATCTTTGCTTTGTAAACCTGTAAGGAAAAAATGAACCTCAATAGAAATGAGTAATAAGGGAAGAGTTCAGCCTTAGTACCAATTACAGAAATGCATTTAACCCAAAGATACCTTTTGCCTCTCAAATTGGTAATAGTTTACCAAAAAATAACAATGCTAATGTGGGCATGAGAAAAAGAGTACTTTGGCTTTACTGTTGGAAAAGGTGTAAATCAGCACAACCTTTCAGGAAGGCAATCTGAGTTTATTTAAAAAACATACAATTTTGAAATGTACCATCTATTCTTTTTTTAATGGACAAGTGTACAACAAACATGCTCACCATTTTTTAAATAAAGAATGCCAAATTGGAAATCTAAATTCCTAACAATAGAGAGCTAGTTAAATATACTATGGTACATCTATATAATGGAATGCTACGCAGTCATTAAAAATGATGATAAAGATGTGAGTTTATTGACATGGAAAGACAGTCACATTCAATAAGTGAAAAAGCAGTTTACAAAACAATATGGATTGTAATGATCCCATTTTAAACAAATATATACATATTTAAATGTATATATTTGTATGGAAAAAACTCTGGAAGGATATACACCAAAATGTTAACAGTGGGTATCTCTGGGTAGTAGAATTTTAGAAAATTTAAATTTTGTTTTTTCTTATTGGAATTTTCTGATGTGCCTACAATGAATATGTATTATATGTGTAGTTTAAAAAAAGACTTCAGGAGTATAGAGGGCCTTCTCTCATTCCCTCGTTGGATAAAAGGAGTAACTGTTTGACTAATTTTACTTTAATAAGTGTAAAAGGATCTAAGCTAAACATCTTTGGGCATTATAAACCAGAAGTAAAAAGTAGGCCACCCATCACCCAATGTACCACATGAGGTAGCTTCTCTGAATTTGAACTCCTCTCTACTCTTCCCATTCCTACTATTTATTCATTCATTCACTCATTTCATATCACTCATGCTTTGTTCTAGGTACTGATTGGAAATAAAAGGTTAATAAAACGTGGCCCTCATCCTAGAAGGTCTGCTGACCTATACAAAGGGCATTTTTTACTTTCACCCACTCTTAGAGGATGTTCCTAGGTTAAGGAATATTACCTATACAATACACTATAAAGCACAGAAACAGTGCCAAAATGCAGAAGAAGGGGGAAACCAGGCATAACATTTTTATTTTCCCAAGACTTTTAGAGTTTACGTATTTCTCACTTCTGTGGTAAGGACACCCAACTATCTTCAGGATACTTCTTTTTCCTAAAAGCTACAACCATTTATTCCACTGACTACTGATTATTGAAACACCCCAAAGAAACCTCAAACTAGCTCTTAAAATACTGGCTTTGGAGTCAAAATATGTATGTTCAAAATCCTGTTCTTACATTACTAATTTAAAGCCCTGATAGATTATTAAGACTAAGCTTTATTTACATGGAAAATAAAGATTTAAAAAGACACCTTCAGAGAGTTTTTGTAAAGACTAAATGAAATAAATAACACAACTCTAAGCACAGTACTTGGTACTCAATGCTATTTTTATTATATGTAAAATTCAATTACTTCACCTATGGCCCTCCAACTTGCTACCTCTCCTCTATTAGCCACATTAGTAAATAGCACATTCATCTAGTAGCCCAAACTATGCTTTTTCATTGACGATAAGCGGTTATATTTTTGTAACACAAATCTGCTCAATGGCTTCTCATTATTTGGCTTTTAGAACCCTTGTCTAACTTAGCTACACTTATATTTTCCATGGAAATAAAATTTGAGAACCATCTGTTCCTTGCAATCTTCCATGTAAGCAAAACAAGTATCATAGAAACAGCACTAAACCTGGAATTGGTAGACCAGAGGTAGAGCCATATACTTGCCACTTACAAGTTTTATGAATTGGGGCAATTCAGACTTTATCTCAGTATGTTACTTTGTATCTTCAAAATGGGGATATTTGCCCTATCTACCCAAATGGTTATTCAGCTCAAAACTGAGATAACTTATAAGAAAGCACTTTATAAACTGTAAAGAGATATGCCACTGGAAATTATTATCAAAGTGAGGTAGATTTATGAAGATAAAAAAAATTCCATTTTGTCTTCTTGGTCTTAGAATTTAAAAAATTAGGATTGGTAAGGGATCTCAAAAATCTTCTGTTCCAACTACACATCAGATGTTTGAATTCTTTCTACTGTTGTTGTCTGTACATGAACACTATCAGGACAAGAATGTAGATTCACCAAGTAGCCTAATGCATTATCTCAGAAAAAGCACTGCCTGCTAGAAAAAATTCTTCACTATATAGCAATTTTCCTCAGCCACAAGTTTCCTTTGAGATTACAAATAAGTGAGGATTAACTTGCCTGTAGGATCTCTGCAAAGTCACAGGAAATAAATCTGTATCTATTACCCTAAATCACCCTGAGTCTGGTCTTTTTTAGATAACTCAAAGTGGGTAAGTCTCATCACCACCCTCTTCTGAGCACACTCTGATTTCTTTTGAAAAGAGGTACAAGAGATTACATGCAATTAACTAACATTCCAACCCCTGTACAACCAATACATAGTAAAGGGCATTTTGGCTCCCTGGACCTAGATAATAAACTTATATTAATGCAGTTGATATTTGCATTAATTTTGGTATGTGCACAACATACTGCTGACTCATACAAAGCTTTCTGTTGATTTAAATCTCTTATTTAGTTTTTATAGTACTGCTAAGCTCTGCATCCTCTCTGTACTGTACCTGTTATTAAACTCAGGCTCAGTAATAATGCCTTATTTTAAATTTTTGATTCATCTTACAGTTCTAATCCATTGCTACAGTTTGTATAGACTGGATTTCCAATCTATCAATCAGCCTCTTCACAGATTTCAGCTTCATGTCATCTACAAACTTTCCAATATACCTTCTTGTCTGAACTACTCAGCTGATTAACAGTACATAAAAGCAATCTAAGAAAAAAATTAAGTGAAAAATGATCTAAAAGGTATTTTATTCTCTGATGTTCACAAAAATACCTAGCTCTTTTTTGAGTTCAGCAAAGATTTACAATTTTGAACAACCTAAGTTTTAAAGTAGCTGGACACAGTGGCACATGCCTGCAGCCCCAGCTACTCAGGAGGCTGAAGTAGGAGGCTCCTGTGTTCAAGGCTAGCTTGGGCAACATGTTGTGACCCCCCCCCCAAAAAAAAAACCAAACAACCAAAAAAGTAGAGAAATATGAAAGCCAATGTTTTACTATATACCAGAGAAACTTCATAAAGTTTGATTTCTTTTTAACCAAAAACCACTTTCCAATCATTTCACCAAATAATGACTGAAATGTTATCGATTAGAAATGAGCATTAAGCTAATTCTGCAGGTAAGTTTTAAGTTTCCCTTTTGAAAAATCACCCTTGGTTTTCATTAGAGATCTGAGGTCACACGGATCATTAGTTTGATTCAATATTGTACTTTGCATAGTTTCCAAAGTTCAGGGAATACTACTTACTAAACAACAAAGCATATTTCTCTAATTGTAAGAAAACAAATAGGAAAAATGTGTTTTGAAACTAAGTGGCCAGTACCAGGTTTAAAATGCAGCTCTGTCACTTAGTGGTGTAGTTAACTAAACTTGGGTAAGTTACCTAACATTTTGAGCCTCAGTTTCTTCATTCATAAAATGCATATTTTGCTTATCTCACAGCACATTGTAATTAGGGTGCTCCACCAAGGGCAGTAGATGTTCAGTAAATGCTACTTCTTCTCTTTTGCCCCGATTGACTGTGTAATATTCACACTCTATACATAACTTTGAAAGATGTAACACAATGGGATGCCTATTTCACAGATTACTACAGCCAATTTTCTGCCAAGCATGGTGAGCGAGATCATTCATATGTGTGTTAAATTTCTATACAATGTGGCTAAAGAATGAATATGGACAAAAAATAATTTAAAAGTAAGGCAAATGTATTTATCCTCTCTCATCCCACCATAATGCCTGCCAGCCAAAAAACTGTGGAGCTTGGCAGATTACACTTATGCAAATATGATTTGAAACACTAAAAAAGGTTAGGAAATGCTAATCATGCTCTATGCTCTACTTTGTGAGTTTGAAATGTGTAAAAAGTCACAATTTTGAATAACCTACAATATGAGTCTCAGAACAAATCAGATAAAGGAGAATGCCTGAGTTTCAGCAGGATTGTTTTCAAAACTTTTAGTGTCATGTAAAATTATCACTTGATATCATCTTCTAGGTTGAGAGAAGAACAATTCAATAAAAAATTCTGAATCATGGTTTAAAGATCTATACAACTTCCCAAGTATTTTAAGGGAAATGCT